AATACAGAAAAGCATGAAGATAACAGGTATGAGAGATTGAGGTCTTGATGTAGAATACGTATTTTGGAAATGCAGAGGTGTCAATGCATTTTGTAGATATGACAAATTTAATCTCACTGTCACCTAGCTATTAGGTGGAGGAGACCTTAAAACTAGACAGAAGTTAGTGAAGCACTTGCCTTGGTATAAAATTTGAGGCCTCAGAAAATTTATTAAATTCAATAGATAATATCTTCATGCAATTTTTAAAATTTCAAAATTAATGGAAAAATCTGCAATGTACAAAATATTGAAATTTTACATAGAGGCAGTATCACCATTACTTGGTTTTCTGTTGTCTCTGGATCCAACAAATCGACATGGTGTTGGTAGGAAGATGAAGCTTGAATACACTCAGTGTAAACTTAGGGACCAATTTGGAGATATTAATTGCTGTTGTTCTCAGGATATGAAAGATCAACAGGAGTTAAACAAAACTTAAGGAACATAAGGCTGATGGTCAAAGTAATAGGGCATAGAATTAATTCTTTAGGAGGAAAGCAGAGAAAATAGCTAATTTGATTTTCATCGTAGAGTTTCATTATAAACTTTAGTATGTATAAAATTTGGCTCCAAAAAGCAGAGGACATATAAAAATCCTGTGTAACTTTAAACTTTTCTTGGTCTCTCTTGGCATTTTTTTTTATCAGTGCCAAAAATCCAATTACTGGCCACAGGTGACCTAGAGCCATTTCCACTGCATGCCGTGATACAATTTCCTATAAGAAATATAAGATATAATTAAGAGTGACCTGAACACTGGGAAACATTTCTTATCTCATGTAACAGAAGTGCTGAAGGTATGGTGATTCCAAGTCTGGATAATTCAGTGCCTCAGCATGTCATCACAGAGTTGATTCTTTTCATTTTTAACCTTTGCCTTCCTCAATGAGTCAGCTACACTCCTCATGGTTACAAGATGACTGCTGCAGCTCCAAGATTTATCATCCCATGGAACAAGGTCTTTCTTCCTGATTTTAAGAGCAAGAAATTTACTTCTAGAATCTGCCCACCCAAAATCTTACTCTGAAACAAAGTTCGAATTCACGTTTTTTGTTTGATTGATAGCATATAACAGAATAGTTGAGTCTTACTTTAAGAGTACAAATCAGGCTCCTTCACTTGCTAAGTATGTAAACATGGGCATCTGTTCTTTGTATTTCAGTTTCCCTATATTTATCAAAGGAATAAAATACCCACTTCATTAGGTTATTGAAAGAAAAAGTGAGGTACTGTATGCAAAATTCTTAGAATGATGTGTGGTTACTATTATTTTATGATAATTCTCACTGTGGCAATGTAATTAGCTCATGGAAATGTAAGAGGTAGGAAAGTTTGATTATCTCAGCATCTCTTAGAGAAGAAGACATCAACTAAAGTTTTAGGTATATTGTGTAATATTTTCCCCCTTGATATTGTTTGGATATGATGTCTCAAAGAAGGAATAAGAATCTATTTCCAGACTACTATCTTATTTAAATGTGTGTATGTGTGTCTCTCTCTCTGTGTATTTAGAATTTTAACATTGTCCATGTGACTCATTAGAAGTTAGTCTCAAACCAGCAATATTAACATCCTGAAAATAGTCTCATATGACTAAATTAGAGCCAGGCTCTCTCTCTCTCTCTCTCTCTCTCTCTCTCTCTCTCTATATATATATATATATATATATATATATATATATATACACACACACACACACACACACACATACACACCCACACATATATCTGTTTGTATACTTACTCAGACAGTCTGTGTGTGTGTATGTGTGTGTGTGTGTGTGTGTGTGTGTGTATATATATATATATATATATATATACAGACAGTCTCTCTGTATATATATACAGACAGAATTTTCCATATAAAATATTGGGGCTTCACTTTGCCACAGGTAACTTATATTTTTGAAAGTGTAACTGCATATTTGGAGAGATTACTAATATTTATTCCAAAACAGAAAAAAAATTCTAAAGTTATCCTAAGCTTATAGCTTATACTCCAGAGATGTCTCTCTCTCTTTCTCTCTCTCTCTCTCTCTCTCTCTCTCTCTCTCTCTCTCTGCATGTATGTGTATATGTGTATGTGTGTGTGTGATATATACATATATTTAATATATACATATATATGTAATGTGTGTTAAGCATAAGGACAGTTAGACTGGTGCCTATTTTGTTGCATTTTTATATTGAAAATCTTCAGTTTTAGGAGGAGGAAAATGAGGAAATAGTTTCAATCTATTTCAATCATAAAAAATCCCATTTGCAATATTCTTCCACTAGATATAAAATATTCCGGTGCTAAAAGTGCCTTTAATGGTGCCAGTACAATCCAGGTCTTTACATATAATTCTTTCAATATTCTCAATTGCAATTATAAAATTGCATTTCATTTCCTTTTTCTAAGGTTTAATCTCCCCATTCAGACAACTAATTTTTTGCTCATCTGAAACTCCAGAATGCAGTAAAATAGAGTGTAAAGAGGAAAGGCACATTATAGATGAATCATAGAGATAGGCTTCCCTGAGGCTAACATTTTATAAATTGAGGACATTGGATGATCTGTGTGTTCCACCAATCCCACAGAATAAAATTTAAAATTAAATAATTTCCTAGGGGAGGGGGCAAGGGGATAAAGAAGATGGTGGAATGAAATGGACATCATTACTCTAAGTACATGTATGAAGACATGAATGCTGTTAATATACTTTGTTTACAGCCAAAGATATGAAAAATTGTGCTCTATATATGTAATACAAATTGTAATGTATTCTGCCATATATAACAATTCTGTAATATATAACAAATTAGAATAAAAAATAAAATAATAATTTCCCAGGAACACTTTCTAATCATTTTTTTTTCTCTCTCTCAGGGATTTTACTCATTAACATAAACCAAGGAATATACTTCCCACTTTAATAATGTTAAAAATGAAAAAAAGACCAACTATGATCCTATCCTTCTACAAATATTACTCAATATCCATCATTTACAGTACAATATATACCTGTAAATTTTTTTCCATTTTGAATGAACTCCACTGGAAGTTCTCTTTGAAGGTCATTAGTGACATCCTCTTAATTAAATCCAGAGTTATATTTTTTGTCATCCTCTTACTTGACCTATCAGCAGCATTTGACATTTGACCACTGCTCTCCTTGAAATGATTTATTTACTTAATGCCTAGTGCATTACACTCCCTTGGTTCTTTCATTCTCTCTCTTACTCTTGCTTTCTCTGTCTCATCTCTCCTTCTTGGAATCCATTTTTGTTTCTCCCTGTTCTCATCATCTATCTCTCAGTCTTCCAAAGGTTATAGTGTTCCTCAGTCCCTCCCTTGGTGATCTCATTCACTCTCATGGTTTGGAATAATCACATCCTTTGTTGGACTCCCAAGTTCCCACCTTCAGGTAGAACTTTCTCTTTTGTAGATCATATTGAACTGTACAAATGTCTCAATCTTCTTGTAGATGTCTAATAGGCAACATACGTTTGAGAAGACTAAAACTCAGTTATTTTTCTACTCTATTCCCCCACCATAAAAAAAAAAAAAAACAGAATAACCAAAAAACAAATTTCTCTACAGACTCCTGCATTTTCATCCTTCTGGTTTCTCATACCTACAGTTTGAAGTATTACTAGATATCTTTGTCATATCCCATAGCTACATTGAAAGCATATGCTATTGATTGTACCTTTGAAATACATTCAGAATCTGACCACATCTCATCAAACACACTGTTACCACCTGATAAGAACTGACATCATCTTTCTTCTAAGTTGTTTCAGTTGACTCCTTACTGTCCCCCTATTTCCAGTCTGCCAACATTTTAATCCTCAACATACAGGAGTTTCATAAGTCAAAATACTTTATTCCTCTAATCAAACTTTTTAGTAACTTTCCATTTCAATCAGAGTGAAAGACTAATGTTGAAGTAACTTTCAGATGATAGAATACATTTGTATAATTCTAATCTCTTAAATATATCAAAGGGAGAAGATTCTCTGAAAAGCTAAAATAGTTTTTAAAATTAAGAAAACATACTCTAAAATGTAATTACATATCAATGAAAAATCAGGTACAGTTTATACCATATTTCCAGATAGATTATCTCCTCAATCAGACCTGAAAGGCTACTTTTGCTCTTTGGAGCATTTTTCATATGATTAACAATACAGCATTTAGGAAATCCCTAAGTTTTCTCTTTTTATTACTTGATCTCTCATTTTACCAATGTCTTTATCATCCAGGAGAGAAATAGAGGAGGATTTATAGTTTTTTTTTTTTACTGGTTTTATCCATTGCAGTTACTAGAAGTTCAAATGCTTTTTAAAAAATTGTAAGTGCAGGTATGTTTAACAAGGACAAATCTAACTGAATTAACTTGAACTTTTCATAATCACTAGCTTAACAATTCCAGATTTTCCTGATATTTCACATATTAAATATGCCAATCAGTCTTAATTTAGCTATAACTGATCCAGTCTGCTTGAAGACCTTGTTGTTTGTGTGACAATTTACAGAACCATCATTCCCATAATGCTACTAAGTATAATAGACCAACAATGATGTCTTCCCTTCCTGAATTCTATAACTTAGGGTATATATGCAATTTGGGTAATAAAATATATACTGTTTTGATTCATTCCTGTTTTCCCCTTTCTTAAACTACTATTTAGATTACAGACTTCTCAAATTGTCAGTTTCTTTCTTACAAATCCCATAATATTTGCTACTATAGGTGCTCAATAGCTTTTATTTTTAATTGAATACACATGCATACTAGAACAAGATTGAGTTTCTATTTCTGAGCAATATATATGGCCAAGTGATATTTGAATTCTTGAAATTGACATATTAGTCATGTCAAAAGGAAAAAAAGAATCAGGAAAAACATGTTTTCTTAGGTTCCTCAGGAATGATTGTGAACATTTTCTCTCACTTTCAATTCCTTTCAGCAAGCTCTATTGCCAAGATTGGCTCAGATCCTCTAAAACTTGTACATGATGCGGTGGAGGAAACCACGGACTGGATCTATGGCTTCTTTTCTTTGTTGTCTGACATCATTTCATCTGAAGGTGATGAAGAAGATGAGGAAGGGGATGAGGACATTGATAAAGGTACAGAGAACAGAAAGTTGTATCTAACTACAAGGACCAATATTAGACATGAATTATAGTGACTTGCTTAGGTTTTAGCCCAAATGGGCACTTGGGTTCACACTAATCCCAAATGAAAACACTTCTGAATCCTAAAAGTGTTTTAGTAGGCAGCCACATGCAGTAAATTGGTCTTTATTTGGTTTTCATATTATGATTTTCTGCCATTATGTCAAAGATGTCAAAATTAAGTACACCATTAGGGTGACATTATAGCTGAGAGAGTCTTATTTTACATGACTATAAACCCACAATAGATATTCTCTGGCAAAAAAAAAAAATAGTAGCTATTTTTTTTAAGTTTATCTCTAGGAAGATTAAAATAAAAACAATAAAACTAAAAATACATATAAATGTTTTATATACATAAGTCATATTCATAGTCAAATAGCAGAAATCAATCTTACTAAAAGCACAATCAAAAGAGTAAATTTATTGAGCCAAATGGAGGCATAGACTGGAAGGACACATTGTAAATGTCACAACAGTTAGGCAACTCACTTATGTGCTCACTCATATATAATTAATGAATAAAAGGAAATAGGAAATTTAAGCTATACATAAATTGCCTCTCAATGGGTATGAAAAGAACAAAAGCCCAGTGATTTTGTCTTTTAAATGACATTTTATAGGGTCAGTTGGTCTTCAGATATTATGTATTCAGCCTTGACTCACAGGAAAGCTCTTAATATTAGAGCCCCTTCTGTGACTCCGTATGAATTTATATTTGTTTTGGCCCTGGTAAGTAGTCACTGTGACCAAGAAAGAAACTAAAATTAATATGATATATGACTTATAATGTATAATTTGGACCATTGCCACAATTTTATTGAACTCATAAAAATGAAACCATCTGAAATAAATGTATATAAACAAAGTTCATACTTTGGAGTTTGGGAAGCAAAGTAAAGTAAGAACTATCATTGTCATTGTCAAAAATAATAGTGTTTTTAATGAACAAAAGAAAATGAGTTAATAAGGACACCATATTATGCCATGTTAATAGTTTTTTTTTTTTTTCCTAATTCAATATTTTTTTTTTATCTTGGTTTAGGAGACACAGAGGAGACTCCCTTGAAAAAAAAAGGTCAGTGGTTTTTACTTTTGAATAAGTTCTTTCTTATTGCACTGTTGATTTTCAATATGACTCAAATATATTTCATTTGTTTTGTTACCTTAATTTATTTTTTAATACAGAGGCTGTTTAATGAAGAGATGAAAATTTATAGTCAAGATAAACACTCAATTCTTTCTAATTAAGTTGATTCCATTATTTTTCAGTTGATTATTTAATGGATGCCTTTTTCCCTAGACTAGTGCAAATCCATCTGTACACACACCATTATGAGATGAGATTTCAGGAATAAAGAGAGAAATTTGTAGCCATTGAAATAGCCCAGAGGATGTTGACACCATGTTCTTTATTCTCATCATGGCAAAATTTATTGAGTTATTTTATTTTTATTATTTTTACTTTGTTTTCAGTATTATATTGCATTTTAGGTGATAGCTCAGGTATATAGCAGTTGAAAAACTATGAAACATAATGATTCGGAGGCAAAATTATATAAGTTAGTATGGGTCATGTATCACCCCCAAGCAGGAGAGTCAACTAGGGAGATTGAATATGGCATAAAAGAATTCCTTTCAGGAATAGCTAATATCTTCAGTAAGTTAGTGGAATTGTTGTAGCCAAGTGTTGGTGGTAATAAGCCTAGGAAAAGGTATGGAGCAAAAGCCTCAAAAGGACAGGGATTTTTGCAGTAAGTAGGAACTATGTCTGGGAGCAGAGATGTAGAATACAATCCTGAGGCACATTTGGTATGGGGAAAAAACAGCCAAAAGTTGGCCAGACTTGATATAATGCTGATTTTAGTCACTGCTGCACATGTCTAACAGCTGGCTCTTGAGCTATCTACTCCAGAGGAGAACATATTGGCTTTTGTTGCTCTCTCCCAAGACCTGTATTCAAACACCGGAATCAAAGTGTGGATCTGAGCAGATGATGGCTGCCCCACTGCTCTGGTACATTCACTAAGGATATGCTAATTTGGAGAATATGAATTTATAACTTTTGCAATAAAACAGAGCTGAACTAGTGAAATCCATGTATAAAGTCATCTAGAAGTGAATGTGTTTATGAAGTTCTGTGAGGAGAAAGGAAGAGTTTGCTAATACACAGATTCCGGATGAGACTTGAGGAATTTAAAGCAGAATTCTGTCATCAAGTTCAGGTTTAGAGATTCTAGATTAGTCTCTATACTCTAGAGGTCAGAAATAGGCTCTTGTTTACAGCTAGTCTCCCATGCATAATGACTGGAACACAGTTAAACTAAGTTAATTAGGTCATCGTCTGAAATAGTGACTCCTATACATGCATATTGCTATTGGAAATGAAGAAGGAAAAGCAGATAAAAAATGTTTTCTCACTTATAAACTCCATTCTATAAGAAGATCATAAGGTTCTACTCTCCATAAATTGATATCTACTTCTTTAATACTGAGCCTCTATTATTTGAGTTTTCCTTTGGAATTAGTTTTGAGTTCATTTCCATGTAATGTTAGTATAAATTGCAAACACACAAAATTATTTAACTATTTTTAAAAATTACTGTCTTGATTTATCAAATGGTCAAGAACTTATTAAATACTTGCTCAAGGTACGTTTTATTGTGTGTCAGTAATGCTAATTAGTCAAAATAGTCTAAAGGATAATAATATATTTTTAACCCCCATGTATAGTAATATCTTGAAGGATTTCATATTCAAAACTAGGAGAAAATTTACTTAAAGCCACATAAAATTACATGAAAAAAAATGATATTTAAGGAACATACTCTACCTTGGGTATGAAAGTTATGCAATGACAACTGTTGGTTATAATTTGACTAAAGTGTATATATTTTATTATAATTATTATTTTATGTATAAATTTTCCTTGGTAGAGTCATAGGCAATGTGAATCTTAAATCAGTATGTACTATCTTAGATAACACTCATAATATACAATCTACATTAAATTATGTTTTAGCATTATTATTAGTGAAGAGATTCTATGAACTTATTCCCATCACATTCTGGGTTATTGTACATATTTTTGTATTTAAAATTTTGAGAAGACCAAGTTGAAGAATTTGATGAGTAAATGAGCAAATGAAATAGTAAATGAGATAAAATAGTTAATAAATTGCATATTTGACACTGATGAGGAAAAGACTTTATGTGAGATTAGCATAAAGGACCTGAACTAAAGCAGGATGAAACTATGAATAACAGTAATTTTGCAAATGAATGCATTACTTCAGAAAAATGAATTAGTTTTATTTCTCTTTTAATAATTCAAAAATATCCTAAGTCAAAGTTAAAACTAAGCTAAGTGACATAGAAACAAATGTAGACTCTGAGGGAAAGAGAATTCAATAGTCTTAAAGCATATGTCAATCCCTGGTACCCACTATATATATATATATATATATATATATATATATATAGATAGATAGATAGATAGATATAGATATAGGTATAGATATGAATCTATATATATCTATATCATATATATATATATATATATATATATATATATATATATATACACACACACACACACACACACACACACACACACATATAGCACAGGAATTTTAGCAATTTCCCATTTGTTTTAAAAAATGAAGTATTAGCTTAACATAAAACTAATAGCATTTTTGTAGTTTATATTAATATTTATGTTTTAGTAAGTTTTTAGTTGAGGCAAACATTCACAGAAAGTATAAATCCTTAGCAGGTATATAGCTTTGTAATTTTTGTGCTCTAACATTTCCAAGTGCAATATAATGAAAATACTTATCTTCTTTTTACAGGTTTATTCTTACTTAAACCTTTATCTGTAATAAGTCTATATTAGAGAATAATAATCACAGCATTTATGTCCTTTCAAATATGTAATTTTAAGTAATAATGATAGTCTCTTAACAAGAAATTATTATTTATAATGCCTTTTCCTGACATCTAGCTTTATAGTTAAGAAGGAATAATCATAGTTACTCAAAGTTATGCACACTAATTTTTTCTTTTTTGTACAGTAAAACCTGGACTTCAATTTTAGGGATATGGTGACCTCTTGGGTTATAGATTTATCTCTTGCCTTCTAGGAAAGCACCAGAAGTCCCTTTACATTATGTTTAATGTCCTTGCTTCCTAACTACTAGATCTTTGAAATAAGAAAATATCCTTAAGGATGAGCATGACCAAAATATAAAGCCTGACATTCCGTGAGATTATACTTGATGCATGTCAATGGAAAAGGAAGAGACTCCTTTATTTAGAGCAAACAGATTACATTCTCCCTTAGCTGTGTTTTTAAATTGCCCTAAAGCTCTGCAAGTTGAAAAGAGCTGCCTAGTAAATTTAAACTTAGTTATTTCATTGTATTTTTCTTACTTTATTGAAATCCACAGTAGCTCTCTGTAGTCAGAGTGGATGAAGAAGAGCAAGGATATTGTAACATCATAAATATTCAAGACTTCAGGAGTAGGCCATTTGGAAGGTTGTATCACATCGTTGGTAGTAAGATAGATGGACAAGTCTGTGTGCCAGAGCTTCAGTTGCATCCGTCTTTGCTGGCATTTTCAGTGGTTTAAGCCAGGCTGAACATTGAGTGTCTGGAAAATATGGTGAATGAAAAAGGAGGGAGAATGGAAAGGTGACTAAACTTGTTAAAATTCATTGCCTCAGAATATTGGTTACTAGGTAGGCCCTAGTAACATTGTTAAGTGATACGTTTAATTTTGGATTTCTCTTCTAAAGAAGTCTAGATGGAAACTTACCTCCCTTTCTGCTGCACAGCGCCCACAGGCTCTGTGGGAACTTCCTGCTGTCTGCGGCCTCTCTTTCTCAACACTGATCAGACCTGTAACTACAGGGAGAGGGAGTCACTTCTCCAGGTAGTTGAAGATGTAGGTAAACCATGTGTTCAGGTTCAAAAACTGTCTTAATTGCAATTATTTTGCTCAAAAAGAGACCAAAACCCAGTTCAAATTGGCTTAGTAGAAAAGATTCTTTATTGGTTCAAGAGATGGGAAGATACAAAGCAGAGTAGGCTCTGGCCATAGTTTGATACAAGCTTTTGTATAATGTTTTACATAATGTTTTGCTTCGGACTCTGCTTTCCTTCCTGTTTCATTTGCTTTGTTCTCAGGCATGCTTTCCTTACCTAGTGAAATTATTCACACCAGAAGCTTGAGACCAAAATTATTTTACTTTACTGACCCAGAGAAAGGACCTGTGTCTTCCCCAAATATTACTGCTAAAACAACTTTTTTGTCTCTTACTGATCTGAACTGAGCAACATACCTTTGTTGGTACCAGTGTGCCAAAATATTCAACATACAACTAGTCAAGGCCTGGGGACTGGGCCCACCCTAGAATTAGAGAAAGGGAAGTAGGAAGTAGCACTCAGCTCCTTGTATTGTGATTAGGAAAGGAACAGTTCCTAAAACTAAAAGAGGAAGAGTGTTCCCATAGTGGATTCTACCTAAAAAACCCCACAGATGTCCACATCTCTTTTTTGTTTTAAGTTCAGAATCCCAGATTACCTTCAACCTTCAACCTCCAAACTCAGATTTGTGAACTCAGAATCTCAGAGGTCCTGTGGGAGAGAGAGGATAGTTTGCTGATAGGGTTGAGGGATTGGGATGATGAAAATGCTCTAAAATTGACTGGGGTGATGATTTCACAGCTCTGTGAACAATTAGAAACTATTATGTTGCATATTTTGAGTGGGTGAAATTTATGAAATGTGAACTATATCTCGATAATGTTTTTTTTGTTTTAAAAAATAATAAATTGAAATATGTAATTACACTCCATCCCAAAGAATTATTTAAATATCTAAAATATATTTCTAAATCACAACCAGGATGAGAGCCATTGTAATGCAAAAGAGTAATTCTCAAAATAAGAGAATTTGTGCATTGTGAGACCAGTAAGGGAGACAGTTAAGGATAAGTGAATATCTTCATATTTTATTTAGACATTGTGACTACTTTATATAAACTTACTGTTATGAAAAATACCAAAACATGAATG